CTGCAGTAAAATGACCATCTGCAACCTTACGGAGACACTGTCTGATGTTGGTGTTACTTGATGTAGTCTCCTTCTGAAGGATGCCTCCACCCTGTCTCATAGCTCCACCCTCAGGATTGTCTAACATATTTTGAACTAACTTTGTGATACTACCCTCTTTCCCCCATGTATCCAAGGACTGCAGGATGGAACTTTGCTGTAATGATTTTCTATTCCCAGACCTACATTCTTGTCTATTTTTGGGTCTAAACACCTGCAGTGTGCATCGAGGAAAAAGTAACAAACACATCCATGCTTCAACCGAGCCAGGTTGGGCAATCACCTTGTATAGAACGGTCTTCAAAGCCTGAGAGAAAGCAAGACGACAACTATGGGGGATACTCTTGACAATAGTGATATGCTCTTTAAAAACACAATCAAGGAGCGCAACATCAAAAACCAAACCTCCAAGAGCATTTGTCACCGACTCTTTAGTTGACGACTTTAGAATACCGACAATATAACGACTCGAGCCGTCATCCCCTGTAACAAACCTCGCACGACCATCCGGGTGATGACAATAACAGCTAAGAGCCTACAAAGTCATACATTTCCCACATGACCATATAGGTTTCTCAAATTGCCTTTTGGTCCCTGGTTTGCTCAGACCTTACGTAGTGCATCTTCCATCCACGTGTTTTCCCACCGTCTCCCTCACCAATCTGCTTCTTCCGCTTTCACTCTTCTTACCGTGTATTTTTGCTCATCTGCCTAAATCTCTTACTTCCTCCAATTCCCTTTCTCGCATTCCCTAAAATCGATTTCAATACAAAATCGGCTCTATTTTCCCTCTGATTCATCTGTAAATGCTCTATTTTCCCTCCGATTCATCTGTAGATAGGAAAAAAAATTACAAGCAACAACCGTTATCCACTGTCGCTCATCATCTGGATGTATTTGCATCCGGTGAGTTAAATCGTTAGATTCCTTTCTGAAGAAGTCATTTATGCATTAATTTCCGGCTTGTACGCGACTTGTTTGAGAGGCTTCCCGAAGAAGCATGATTTCTGCCGGCTGTTGCTTTTAATTTTTATTTTCCTTTTCTTGGGGTCGTAGCAGCCTCACACGGCTTTCTAACCCTAAACCTTATGTATTTGTAAAGGCCTGCACGACGACCACCACTACATGCTTTCCGCCTTCTACTCAAGTATCATCGACGGTCGACATGAACAAACAACATAGCCATATCATTGATGGTCGACAAGTAAAAACAAAATAGGTTTGAACCATGTATCTAATCTGATCTATCTCCTTATCTGCATATCAACTATTAGTTGCTTTTCATTTCTTTAAGCAATTAAACACAAAACCGCGCTCAACTTTCACCGCCGAAAAAGTATTTGGTTGTCGTTTGAACCTGAGTAACTTCTTGAGGTCAGTCGATTTCTAATTGATCGAATTACTCTCTCTTTCTATATATAGATTGTCGATGGTTCCACAAGACGCGAAGGAGAAGGCTTCAGCTGATAAGGTTCCACTCGTGGATGTCACTGGTGAAGCTCATTTCAAAGTGTGCTGAGAAAAAAAAATATTAAGGAGGCCGGTGGTGCTATTTTGCTTACTGCTTAGGTTTGTTTCTATATATTTGATGTTGATTTTGATTATTACTGTTAGTTTCAATGGCAGAGTACTTTGAATTTGCTGGATTTGAACTTCTTTTTGATCAAATTTATTTTTCAAACTTCTTACAAATGTGTTCTGCTGTTCTATAATGTGTTGATTTCATTGTTTTGAATCTTATGAAATGTTGTATTCAACAACTGTTTGCTCCGCTCAAAATCAATATGAATCTGTTCTTACAAAGTTAGACACAATAATTTAAATTATGAGGACAAGTGACAATAATTAGTTTTTTGGGTTGAATTTCTTAAATCATTCACCAGTAATCAATAAAATCCATTTGCTTGTGTATTTTGAGGTTTCTCTTTGTATGCATCTACTAATTGAGGGAGGCAAGATTCAACTGTTGATTTCTACTGCAACAGTTTATATTCTCTAGCGAGTTGCAAAGGCCTTCACTTCAAAAATCACGAGGTATGTTTTCATGTTTTTTGATTCAATATTGTCAATGTGGAAAAAGTTGAAATCTTTGACCGGTTCAAATATGTCAAAAACTACATTTTCTGTTTGGGCTTCTTCAATCGGACTAAATTATGCATCGACTTGCTTTTTGGTTTTGTTATTGAAACTCAAGCACTATCTTTTTAACCAACTTATTGTTAAAGACCATACCCAATTTACCCTTCACTCAGAGACATTATTGCAAAGCAATGACATACATCGACTTCTTTCCTTCACGATTTTGTTTTAGGGCCTGATGCTTCTTTGGACGTCATTTATGTAATTTTGTGTATTAATGATATTCTCTTCACAATTTAAATTATATAAAAAGTTCTTCCTAATGATGATTACTTATTTAGGTGGGTTCAGATTAAGCTGACATTTTTTTTCATATATTCACATACCATCCCACACGTTCAACACTAAAGACATTACACCCAAATGAAATACAATAACCCATGCGGAACATGGGTAACTACGCTAGTTTTTAATAGGGATGGGCTTTGTGAATCTCATCTTTTATTGTTTTTTTTTCATATATTCAACCGTTCATTTTTTTCCATGTGTAGGCACACTATGTTGTATTCATGTTCGTGTCCATGTAGTCATGGCTTGTTGGGAGCTAGAACAATCTCTATAAAGCTTAACAGGTAATCACTAATTACCACACAATCCCAAATTACCATACAATCCCATCAGTTGATGGTAAAATTTAAAGAAAACAAAGTCCAACTATAATATTCAATTTTATTAATTTTTGTTATATTGGTTTCTTGGAATTAGGGAGCAGTATCAATAATAAGATCATAAACAACTCCTGCCACTACCACTAAAAATTTTCATTAAAAATTTTCAGTATGTAAATTCAGTTTTTTTGCAATCCGTTGTGATTATATTGCAGATACGAAAGCACACAAAAACTTAAACATCTAAATCTTTAATTACTAGACTACCTTTTATAATAGAAAATCAAGTTTCATTTTATAAAAACAAGTTAATATGTAGGTGTCTATGATCATTGTATTATCATTTTTTTAAACTTTATTTCAAATCCTTTTGGCATCATGGTAACATTGGATCTGGTGGTGCTCAAAAGGTGATTCATTTTACATTGGATCTGATGGTGCTCAAAAGGTGATTCATTTGGTTTCTTGTGTATATGGTAATAGTGTATCAAATAGAAGAGTTGGATTGTTTTTTTTTTCTATTTTTTGTTTATTTTCAAATTTTAAATCTCTAGTTGGTCAAAAACTAGAGATATAATGAGATTTCATATAAGAGATTTGAATGTTAATCAAGTTGTTTATAAATTTGATTTTGCAGGTTGTGCCATTTTTGTTGAGCATCTATGGTTGGTTGTGTATCTGTAATGAATATTCAACTTTGATGATTAGGGAACCATGTAAAACGATTTTCAATCATGTAATATATCTATAAAAATCTATGTAACTATTAGAATTAAATTTATTGCATTTTTATATATTTCAACGAATATTATAAATGAAAATTGGATTTTGTTGAATATTGTTATCGTTATGAATTTGTTTCGGAACCTATTTTTGCTATGGAACAAATGACCACAGAATTTGCTACGGAACAAATGGCTACGAAATTTGTTACGGAACAAATGGTTATAGAATTTACTACAAAACAAATGGTTATGGAATTTGCTACGAAACAAATGGTTACGGAATTTGCTACAAAACAAATGACTACAGAATTTGCTACGCACCCTATAGTTACAAAATTGTTATGGAAATGTGTTGTAGTTAAATTGCTACGGAATAAATGTCATAGCAAAACTGCTACGGGACTATAATTCTGTAGCTAAACAGTTTGCTACAAGAAATATACCTACGGAATCTTATTGACAAATTCCGTAGCAACTTCTGTAGTTATTCAGGTTTAGCTACGAAATTTTAGGTTTTAGCTATGGAATTTTTTCGTAGCTAAATCGAAATTTTCTTGTAGTGTACATTTCCACGTACTTTAATTAACTTAAATATCATTTTAAATATCATTATGCTTTGATAGCAAATTTATATGTTTTATATAAGTGTTTACAAGTCTAACAATACAAATTTCACAAAAATCAACAACAACCATATATTCCCTTATCACATGTTATTTTCATTTTAACATGTTATTTTCGTTTTATGGTATGGCTATTTCCAATATTAATTTCATTTAAGATTGGTAGAACGTAACTTAATAATGAAACAACATCAACAATCTACATTCACCAGCAACAAAATAGCTTATTGGTTATCCATTTCTTCAAAGACTACTCACTTGTTTCCTCACAAATGATGGCAATGCAAAGGCCGCTCTATGTATCTGTTCAAAAACAACATAAATACTCTAAAACAAACAAATAATCACCATATAAATTTAGAAAAATATCACAAAAACTCATAATTATTAACATTTTATTCAAAAAATAATGTTTTATTTTTTTATCTTTATGTTTCAAAAATTACCGGCTTAGGACTTGTTTTTAACATGAAAGAAATATATATATGATTTTGTATCAAAAGTTTCAAACTAATGTCGGTTGATTTTCAATTGGATACGACTTTTATATTATGTAAACCCTAAACTTATGGCTTCTATTCAAGCAAAGACCGTTGATAAAGACTCTCATCAATAAATAAATAAAAAAGGGACCCTTAAAAATAACTAAATTATTTAAAATGTAAAATGCCAATGAATAAATTTTAAAATTTTCAAAATGTACATGTTTTTATTGAAAATATAAATAAAGTAGCAATTCTTCAAATAAAAGAAAGTTTCTATCTATATCATTGTAGATTTTCTTAATTACGTCTATGTCATTATAAAACTTAAAATTACATGTATATCCTTGTAATGATAAAAACTTATATATATTTAATGATAATTAATCTAAAAATCAAAAACATTATCTTTGAATTAAAATACCCATTTATTATCATTCTCATAATCAATCTCCTTTGTCATAATATGGTTATTAATGATATGATTGTATATTCCTAATTGATTTTAGCGGAAAAACATTGTGATTGTATCTTCAATCAGCAAAATTGAAGTAAAAACAGGTGATTGCATGTTCGATTAGCAAAACCTGATGATTGCATACCCGATTAGCAAAACATTATCAGGTCGTGAATAACTATATCATAAATAAGGAGATCGATTATGGGAATGATTGCAAATGGATACATTAGTAAGTTAGTTATAATCTTAATTTAAAAATAATGTTTTAAATTGTTAAATAGATTTGTTATCATTGAATTAAGTATGTGGGTATATATGTGACAATCATTTAGGCTATATTTGACGCACATAAGCTACTTTTTTTTTTCTTTTTTTAATCTTTTTGCAATCTATTGTTTGGTGAGAACACAAAAATAGTTTATCGTAGCTTATAAACTAGTTTTTTAAAAAGCTAACGAATATAACTTATCGATAAAGTAGCTTTTCACTTGGCTTATCATTTAACATACCTCAGAGTTATAAAATCTTGGTTCTCTATCATGGTGAATTGTCCTGGCTAGCTTCTCAATCGGGTTCACGGGATTTTTAAAATCTACAAAAGGACCCTCAGTTGAACACAAAATAAACCCTATAACACCGCTGCATAATAATAACACAAACAAACATGATGAATTAAATTAAAATTTTAGGATGTTTAATTCTAACAATTTTTAAAATTAATTTCCACCTAGGATATGTGGGGACGCTTGCCCATGCATAGTGAACAGAGCCTTTAAATACTTCACGGCACGTGGAAATCATGTCTTGAATAAGATGAGTGTGCAGCCACATACTTTCTGCCATGTTGCAGAGCACGCCACCAGGGCGTAGTGCACTTGCAAGCATCTCAAAGAAAGGCTTTTCTACTAGCTCTGTTGCGGGACCTACATAAAAAAATGTTTTAAATGCAAGAAATAATAATGTAGTTTCATTTCATGTGCTAATATGAAAAAGGGAAAATTATTAAAAAAATTATAATTCTGGGAAATTTTGCGGTAATTAACCACTAATATTTTACTTTTCGGATTAAACCATAAAAATTTCCAACATTTTAACTAAATTAACCATTTTAACTTGATATGTTGTAATATTGTTATATCATGTTTCATGAGTTACCATTTTTGTCTATCATGTCAAAATGGTTAAACTAGAAAACTGACTGAATTTTTTTTTATGGTTAAATTGAAAATTTGTTATAGATTTTTATCGTTAAATTTGAAAACATACCTACAGGATCCGATGAATCTACAATAATGGCATCGTACTTTCCTTTTGGGACATACTTGATGAACTCAAGAGCTGTCAAAAAATTTAAAAAAAATAAAATAAAATTTTAGAATAATAATAGCAACGTACTTTACTACAAAAGATATAAATTTTTTCAGAGTGTATTACCATCTCCAACATGGAGATGAACACGAGGATCCTCGAAGCCAATAGCTAAATCAGGGAAGAACTTCTTACTAACCTAGAAATAGAAAATTACATAATTACCCTCCATAAGGTCTAACAAGAA